ACGTGTTAGGTGTTGACTTTATCCCTACTTAGGTTTCGGGATAAAATACCCCAGACTGGTATTCTGGTGTCTTTTTCTACGGCGAAAGACTAAACCGGCGACGCGTGTTAGGCGTCGGCATATCCTTTCTTAGGATTCAGGATGACATTCCCCATGCGTGTAAGGCATGGATTTTGGTGTTATTAATAACGACCTGCCACAATGTTGAATATGTGGACGGGTGTTCTTTTTAACGGTTAAGAACTAACCGGCAGCGCGGGTTAAGCGCAGACTTATCCTTGCTTAGGTTTCAGGATAAAATACCCCAGAATCAGACTCTGGTGTCTTTTTGTGCGGAAAAAGACTAAACCGGCAGCGCGTGTTAGGCGCAGACTTATCCCTGCTTAGGATTCGGGATAAACTTCCTAGGATGAATCCTAAATTGACAAATTTTGGAAAGAGCGGTGCGGGAAAGGAAGAATTTTATATTCTATTTCCCGGTCTTCTTTTAGGGTGAAGGCGAACCCAACAGACAAGGAAGGAAGAATTTTATATTCTATTCCCTGATTCTGGAAAGGAAGAATTTTATATTCTATTTCCAGCGAAGAAGAAACTAGAAGTGGGGTGTCCACTCCGAGAATCTGGAAAATTTAGATAAACTTGCCTTTTATAGGATGGGTTATCTAAACTGAAAATGGGTTCTTCGTTTATCGAAGTGGAATTTCAACTTTGGCTATAACCATGGGAAGGCTTGACCAAAGAGAAAGAGAAGGGAGTTCTTTCGTTTATCGAAAGGGGACTCCGAAATGAAAATGGACCTCTTGTCTATTGGAAAGAGTCAAGAGGGCCAGATGGATACTTTTGGTGGACTCACTGTCAATTGAAACTGATCAGTGAGGGATTTTGGTGGTAAAAAATGATTTTGGGTTATCCTTTAGAATATTAAGTGTAATATTCTTCGAGGAACTTCCCGGTAAATGAGTTATCCTGAATGTACTAGGGATAGTACTTCTTCAGGAACTTCCCATTTATTGGTTATCCTGAATGTACTAGGGATAGTACTTTTTCAGGAACTTCCCATTTATTGGCATTAATTGCCTGGCGCCCTCTTGAGTAATCAGGCGATATGCGCCGTTTGAATAGACTGTGTCTATTACAAACGGTCCTTCCCATTTGGGTTCGAATTTACCTTTCTTCTTGGAGGTGAGAATTATTGGTCGGCGAGCAGCGAGGACCAGATCTCCTTCCTTGAAGCTTCTCTGTCGGACTCTTTTGTTAAAAGCCCTTGACATCCTGGCTTGGTAAAAATCGATGTGTTGTTGAGCCTCCAAACGCTTTTCATCCAGCCTCTCGAGCTCTTCGAGACGCTTCTGATGTTGTTCCTCCGTCGTCATCTCCGTTGCGAGGGCGATCCGAAGGGACGGAATCTGAATTTCCAGCGGTAGCACAGCTTCACATCCGTATACCAGCGAATACGGGGTAGCTCCCGTAGGCGTGCGTATGGTGGTGCGATAAGCCCAGAGTGCTTCACCGAGTTTATCGTCCCAGTCTCGTTTATTGGTCTTCACGAGCTTTGACAAGATCTTGATGATCGTCTTGTTAAACGCCTCCGCTAATCCATTCGCGGCGGGATAATAAGGTGTTGATGAAACGTCTTCGATTTTGAACTTGTTACAAAATCGGATGAAGGCGTTGCTTATGAACTGTGGACCGTTGTCATGAATGATCCTTCTTGGCACGCCGTGTCGGTA